CCACCACCACTAGTGAGTGCTTCACATCAGCATATCTTTTCAAGGCTATCCCTACAAGACAAAGGGGTTAGAAACTGATAAATAAAAGCTGAGATTTTCTTTTTATTGCTCTGCCCTGTAGGCTAGCTGCAGGATTGACAGTTTCTCCTTTCTCACCTCTCCCAACTTTCCTCCCCATCAAGACAGGGCTCATGAATGTGGTCTAACTTCAAGGAATTTTCAGTGCTAAGTAACTGGACACAAACAGTCGAGATTAGACACAGACATCTGGGGGCTTTGAGTGTGCCCCTCCTTGCCTTCTCAGCCATTCCCTTTTCTGTTTTTTGCGGTCCTTCGAATTGCTGCTGTGTGCTGTGGTTTTGTGAAACTACGTACAGATGTGTTTAAATGGGGGCACATTGTCAAGTGTTTCGTTTGATGAGATTTTAGGTGCCTGACTCGCACGTGGGAGCAGATTAAAATTAAATTGCTGGAGTGGGTATTACCTTGAGCTGTGTGGCCTACCTTTTTGAGGAAGGTTGCTGCCACTGGGGCAGGGATGATGGCATGGCTCCTGGACTGGGTCAGCTGGGACCTGCCCTGAAATTTGAGAGCTTTGGCTCTGAAATATTAAAATAACCTGAAGTTGTCATCACTTTATGTTAAAGTTAACGTGTTGGGCTGAAACCTTTGGCAGCCCAAGAGATGCTTCCCAACTGATCTCTCTGGCTGTAGGGATAACATCTCCTGTCTGTGCACTGGGGTGCACGGTAGAGGAGGCTGCCAACCTGCCTTGAGCCAACAATTTCAGTCTTCTGCTGTAAAAGCAGCGGAGCCCTAAAGCTCTGTGTCTCAGATCATACATCTGCTTATATTATGCCATTCGTGTATACATATGCGCAATCCCATGTGTGTTCACATACAGGAATGATTTGTCTTTACAGATCATGATAATTTCAGGTATAAAGACGTTAGTTACTTGCTTTGCTGGCAGTATCAATGTGCTTTTTTCTCCTCAGGATACAATAGCCCATATTCATTACTATCAGGGCTGATCATTCGTCTATATGTATTTGTATTGCTCTCAAAGGAGTTTGAAGGATGAATCCATAGTTTGTGAGGTGCTCTGATATATACTGCTGTTCAAGTAGGGAATTGTAATAGAGCTTGCTTTTCTCTGTTACTCACTACACTGCTATTTTTCTCCTCATTCACAGTCTTGTCTCTTGCAGATCCTCTCCCTGTGCTCATCTTGGGGATGAAGAAAATGCTGTTCTGTAAGTAGATCTGTAATATAAAGGGCAAAGTTTATTAATGATATCTCACAGAATTTGGATCCCTAGTTCTGTGCCAGGATGCAGTTTTATGGAAGAGATGCACTTAAAAATAACACTTCATGCTCCATCACTTACACATTTTACAAACCATTCTTTTAAAGTTCAGTTTCTAAAGCCCATACATACTCTCTTCCTGAAGAATTCCTGAAATTCAGGTGAAAAATCCGAAGGCTCAGGTGACTCCTTGTATTCGTTCGGCCAACGTGTTACAAGGAACATAAGCAAGAAAGGAGACATTTCAGTGCTTTTCTCTCTTTGGAGGGCCTGGTTTATGGGATGTTGCAGTGACACCTGGTGGAAAACAGTGTTGGAACTCTAAGAAAAATTTCTGCATCATAAAACAAGTTGTTCATTTGAATAATATCTTTAATGTTATTATTTTACTAACTATCTATATTGCTGTAATGATTAGAGCCCATTTGTGCAAGGTATGCATGTACTACATATATACAGGTGTGCAAATGCTCACCTCCCAGAATTACCAGCATCAGTAGTAGCAAATCTTTCCAGTTATAAGGAAAGGGTTGGTTATGTGTATTCAATAGTAATCAAATGTCCTTGCCCTAAGAGCCAAATGCCAACATTTTTATAAACTGCCGACTGCTTCTTCAGGCTCTCAGCTGCACCTTGATTACATTTCTCACCAGGTTCTTAACTTGATCCCTCCTTCTCCCCTCCCACTGCTCCTCCCTATACATTACCAAACAAGACCCAAATCATCCTAACAATCAATTAGTTCCTAAAAAAAAAAAAAAAACAAACCAAAACAAAGTAGTAATGAATAATTAAATGCAATTAAAAGAATTTTTTTAAAAGACTGTACTTAAACATACTTGTTTACCTGGGCTACATCTAAGCTAGTAATTTAAATCTATGCCAGGCACGATTCTTATTCCAGAGTGACCACATAGATCAACTGTTAGAGTTGTCCCTGGCTGGTTTTGGTGCACATCAGCACTAGCCAAATAATATCTGGGAACAGTTTGGGTTATAGTAAAACCTAGGAGCCATTCCCCACATGTATTTCAGCTGTGGCTATCCTCTCTTGGAGTATGAGTGAGTTTTAAAGTGTGGATGTGAGTTATCCCATGCCACCTGCTAGGGTATGGGTGTGGGTACATTTAATTTACTGGTGTAGACCTGCTAGGCCTAGAGACCAAAGCCTGAGGGTCCTAAATCTCCCCCAAAGATCTATCCAAAGCACAAAGTGCTCTGCCTCAGGAAGACATTGCAGCCTACATCTCCCTGTCATCAGCTTTCTCTTCAGTTTTGCTGTTCATGTGAGCTCTGATGAAGCTTCTTCAGCCAAGATGAGCTGGATTAGCAAAGAGCTACTATTTAAGCAGTCAGACTAAACTGGCTTATTTTGGCTGGAGCTAAGGAGTTCCCTCTTAAGCAGCTTTGCTGATGGGTTGGAGTGGGGGCAGTATCCTTCTGGAGTGGAGAACTGACAAGTAAATGGGGCAGTAACTCCCCTTCACCTGTGTAGCTGAAAGCTAAGTTCACCTTAGATGAGTTTTACTCTTGTCTAGGAGTTGCCTTGAGTAGTGGTGAGGAGGCTGAGATAATGCACAAGGAAACCTTCAAAGGCTTCACAGGACAAGTGGAAGAAAAGGAAGGAGCCTGCTCCACAAAGCCTTTCCTTCCTCTGACCACCTTTGAGCCATGTGCTTGGCAATATCCATTGGCTCTCTCCAGCCCAGCTTATCCTTTCCTCCTGCCTTGGTGCCTTTAGCTCCCTTCACCTACCATGCGTGGGCACAGCAACACATGGGGCTGTGCTGCAGCCTGCATCGGAGAGAACAGCATCAGGTCAATGCTAACCAATTTGCTTCTGTTGTTGCTGGGTTAGTGATGATAACCAGATTCTCAGCCTGGTTTATCCCATGACTGCAGGAATGTTCACCTGGCAAGTAAGCAGGGCTTGGGAAGGTGTGGTGGAAAAGCAGGTCTTCTCTTTAAGCAGCAATGACAGGATGTGTCAGATAAACTGATCATCAAAATGCCATGTTATTTATAAAATAGCACATTTTATTTATAATGCATAATACACATGCCCACTCATGTAGAGACCCCCTAGCAGATTGGCTCTGGTTAGTTTGTGTCTACGTTGCATCAGAAGGCAGACAGGGGTCAGGTTTGAGTGGTATATTGGGGTGGAAATGGAACATTTGGAAACAGTCATTAAAATAGAGAAATAATTAATATTTTTATACTGACTGATATGAACTGTAGTGTTCTAACAAGGTTATTCATCACACAAATTTTCTTGGTTGTAACCACTTGAGAATATTTAGAAATAGCTTAATCATAGTAGAAATGAAGACGAGACGAGTTTTCTCTCTCTCTTTCCTTGTTTCCATGTTGCTTGGAGCACCTGATTAAAAGCATTGCACTTAGTTTCCTCTTTACGTTAATGATATTTATGTAAGGAGATACGCTGACTTTCATTGGTCAACTCTTTTGTTTCAGTGGTTTAATAAGAAACTATGAAATAGATGTTGTGCAATTTCAAGACTAGTGCTCCAGGAAGCAGAAAAGTTGTTGAAGGAACAGAGTGTAAACAATGATTTGAAAATATTTAATAAACTGAAATGCAGAAATTTCATAGTCGTGCCTCCGTCATCTAGACTAAAAGGAGTTCGTATGGCCAAGTCAAGGAAAGGATCAGACTGATAAGTGAAATCGTTCAAGTTATGAGGAACACTTGCCTGTGGGATCTCCTGCTAAACAGATTTGCTGCTTTTTACTGTGTATGGATTTCTGCAGTGCACTGTACTTTCTCAAAAAATTGCCAAAACTTATGCACAAGTAACCTGGTAAGTTTTGAAAACCTGTACTTAATATTTTGAAACATAGATGGTTGCTAGCAGTGTAAGAATTTTCTATTACATATCAGCTTTTTCAAAATTATTTTAAAGAACGTATCTGAGTAAAAGTAGAGTTTGAGAACTAAATTTAACATTTGAATTTGTGGAACCTGGTAAGGAAGAAATCCCCTTAACCAGATTGCATGGATTTTCATTTTATATTTTCTTTATATACTTATGTTCCAACAGCTCCTGAAATTACTATAAATGCTAAAAACCCTGGAGGGTAGAGGAGAGAAATTACTTACCAATTTCTGTCTAGTCTATGACTTTTCTTACATTAAATTAGGAAAACTGTAAATTCATAAGAAGTTATCTGGGAATCTGTGGCTTGCAGAATTATCCTGAACTGGTTTCAGCTTCTTTTTTAAGTCATCTGTGCTTTAAATTGTGGATGTTTCTTTAAGTATTAAAGTGGTTGGATCCTTCATCTTATGCTTTCTTAGTGTTCCTTTGAGTAGTCGAGTGGAATTTATTATTTTTCCTTCTACTGATGCATGACGAAGATAAGCAAGACCTCTTAAATCCAAACAATAATGAGGCTTTCAGGAGTTACCTCCTTATTTCTATTTGCCTGAAATGCTGATGCTGTTTAGAAGACCGTGTACCTTTGCTCTGTAAAAAGGACATTTTGTGCCTTGGGGCTAACTAACTGTGGACATCTACTGCAGAGGACTATCACCTGCTCCATTTTATTTCATACCTTTGTCTGACAGTTCCTGTAAAACTATTTCTAACTCTTGCACCAGTGAAAGAGTTAATTGCCTTCCCTGATGGAAGCCTATCATGCAGTGATAACTTTAATGGGGAACCTTTGATTTAAGCTTAAATTAATTCAGAATAAGAAATAAGTTGCTCTTTCTCTCGGCTTTGAAAGACAGGAAAATCGCATTCATGTTCAGTGAATGTATTGTGTAAGGGATTCAGATGAGAAAAGTATAATCTTGGAGTCTGAGAGCTGTAAATCTTATTTTTCGCCTCCAGTCTACTTATTGTGTTCACATTTGCTTTGTGACACTTTTGATTCTCACTGTTGTCACGGTGTGCCCAGCATGCTGAAAATTTCTTCCTGAGAGTTGTTTTATTAAGGGTGCTCTTACCTGTTTGCAGGGCAAAACTTAAGACCTAATATTCAGCTTCTCCAAGGTTGTTAGCTACATCCTCAAGTCATTTGCACTTCACAGGCAGTGACTAGTTTTGCACACTTTGAATGATGTGAAAGAACAGGCGCCTTAGCTCGAGAGCACTTTTGGGAGGAGAGGAAGGGTGGTCACCATATGGTTGTGTAAAACCCCTTCAAAAGGAGGCCAGATAAAAGGTGTTTAGCTTGAAGGAAGGTCTTTCAGCTCCCAAGAGGTCAAAGACACTTGGCTTTGTCATTTATGCCCAACATATTTATGAAGCATTTGTTATTGACTCAGTGAACCAGAATCAGGAGATGAGAGCCAAATTCCTACCTGAGGTAATTTAATTAACACCAACTGATTCTGCCGATGTCCTTGTTTGATGGTACTCTGAAATTAGTCTCAAGTGAGAAGCTACTGGTGTGGCAACAATAAATTTCTTCAAATGAGGAAGCGTTACTCAAAGAAGATTTGTTTTACAAGAAACCAATGCTTTGATGTATTTTTATCAAAGAATTATGGGGAAACATTTTGACTCTTTATAAAAATGTATGTATTTCTCTTACAGGAAGGAGAACTTGGAATTACTAACCTTTGCAATGTTAGTGACATCACAGGAGCCGTGAGTAATTGTTTACTTTGTTAATTACTGACATTTTATGTTACTGCTATTTGAATAAAATGGGTACAATGATTGTATTGTCAAAGACTTCACGTAAATGTGCACGGTTGCCTGTCTGGCATAAGTCAGTAGGTTATGTGCTTAGATTTGGCTCAAATTATTAAGACAAGACTATCTTTTTTGTTTAAAGAAATTGTGTAAAAGGTGTGGATCTCTGCTGTGAGTCATGTTTACATCTGTGATCTACAAAGTTCAAAATCACTCAATTTTGAGAAAATGAGTCAAAAACTAATGTTCCCTCCAAAATGCAAGTCGTTGACTGTTTTATTCAGCTACCTTTGTACAGTTAAGTGGTTTATTTTGTTTTCTCAGTGATGCGATGGGAGAAAACTTAAAATGACAATTGTTCAAGTGGTTTGTTTTGTTTTCTCAGTGATGTGATGGGAGAAAACTTAAAATGACAATTGTTGAGAATTTAGAGTTCTGTAGGACTTCAAATGCTTCTGTCTGTTCTGGGGGGCTTTTTAGCTTAACATGAGCTTTCCATAGCAGCATTCTGGTGAGGACCTCAGCTGATGTTCTCCTAGTTCAGGTTTCAAATGGAACTCAAGCTGGCAGTTATACATATTCTTTGAAGAGCGCTGGAGAATTCAGTCGTCAATATTTTCCACAGAGACTAGTGGGAAGCAGTCTCTCAGTGCCTGGTGTCTAGCGAGGCTGGGTCATTTACGATGCCAGGACCATAAAAGGCTGTGTTGTCATGACAATACATAGCAAGGTTCACTTGCCTATTTAGGTTACTGTGTATGTTTGCTCAGTGTTATCAAGTCTTACTATTTTTTCATGAGGCTTTGCAATGCTTGATATCAGATTCTCCTGCTTCCAAAGTTGTTCCTCTCCAGCATCCCTTTAAAAAGAAAAATGTGCATGACCATTAAGAAGTGAATGGGACAGAATGAACAAGAAAGGTCCAACATCAAATCCAAACCACATAATATTTATTACATCTTTGAAAACTCATGGTTTTAAAGGCGATGCCTTGCCTGTTGGAGAGCGAGGGGCTTGTGTTGAACAGCTTTCCATCATGCCTGGCTGTGCCGCATACCACATACTGCATATCTGTAACCTCTCCACAGAGAGCAAGTGGTAAAATAAAGCTGGGAGAGAGGGAGCACTGGCTACGCTCCTCATGGCTGGCTGGGTGACCCATGCCCAGAGCAAGACTGCAGATGGGCAGTCTTAGCCAGTGCTCCTTCTGCCCCTGGAGCTGTGCATCAGCCCTTTCCCAAGGCCCATGCAAAGCTGGGCACTCTCCCCAGGTGACAGTCACGGTCTGCTCAGGTGTCCTGCAGTCCTTTTACTGCTTTCAGTACATACGAGGGTGTCGAAATCCTTACCAGAGCTGAACAGGTAGTTGAACATTTACTGTTTTGTGCAAACCAATCTCTAAGAATGATTTATTTTTTCTTCTGCTTTATATTTGATTTTACATTGAGAAGGACACTATACAACATAACTCCCTTACTTTAGTACCTGAGTACCTATAATCTTTGGTATATTTAATAATTTTGTTACAAAGTTTAGGTGCCATAAATGCCTATTTGATTGCTAAGGAAACAGGGCATGAAGGAATGAAGCGACTTGGTCATGCAGAATGTTTTACTGCAGCTGGAAAGTGAACTATTGTCCTCACTCTTAGGACTGGAGTATCTCTCGTCTTTAAAAATGTGCTTTCAAAGTTGTTTTTAAAGCCACCATCTGTCTTTGCAGTGCACACAGGGATGTCAGTTTTGGAATGCAACGGTGCAAATCAATTGCCCACTGCAATGTGTGAGTATTGCCTTAGCCTTGGCTCTATAGCACTTGTCTCCTGTCCATCATGTACCTTATCCAATGGCAGATGTGGAAAACCTAACCAGAGCAGTGTTTCTATGAAAAGATGTAATGTCCACTTTTTTCTCTCAGTATATTTATAAATTCTCTTTTAGGAAGATAATAATTCTTGCTATGAGGTTACCTGTAATATCAAAAGTTTTCATTGTGTTTGTCAAAATGTGGGGACATTTTACAGTTCATTAAGCTCAACCACTCACCCAGGTTTTCAGGCAATGAGAAAGAACTAGTGCTTTTCAGGATTTTACTCTGCTGGGGCCTGTCTCAGAGTTGTATGCAGATGTAGATGAAGCACATGATTTTTACTAGATTGTTATTTCTTGCTTTTGCTAAACCGGATGGATGAGAGTTAGCATTGGTCTGGGACAACTGCCATGATAGTTTTTAAACTGCTGTTTTTTCTGGACCTCTTGAACACCCAAAGCTCATTCATCCTTGCCATCATTTTAATGTTGACTTTCTGGTTTTTCAAGTGTGGGTTTTCCTTCTTTCATGATTTGCCAGTGAAAAGGTTTTGTAGTGTACTTTTACTGTAAGAAACTTCTAATTAATTGATATTTGTTTGAAATACTCTGTGATTATATTTATGCTAATCCTGCATTTTATTGATTTGCTTCTTGGCAGAACAAGACGTACACCAGAGCATGTGAGGTAAGTTAAATGCTATCAGATCAACAAAAAAAAAATCATGATTTCAGTGATTACTATGTCCACACAGCGCTAAGAAACACAATGTAGATGATACACAAACTTATCAATCCAGGTCTAATTGTTTCGTGCTCCCTAAAGCTGAAGAATGAATTAAGTACCTGAATCTTTTCTTTCCAGCATGGTAGCTAAGGACATGTTTGTGTTAAAAACTGCTGTGTGGCAAAGACTATTGCTTTAAAGAGAGAAGGTTAATCACACCAGTATGGAAGGCAGTACAGACCTCTTTAAACTATGTTCTAGGCTCTCACAGGAGTCTTGTTCTATCCAGTTTTTCATTAATGCCATCAAAGACGATTCAGATAGAATGCTTATCAAGACTGGTGTGAAACCAGCTCGGTGAGAAATGGAAACAAGGAGTGGGAGCTAGAAGACAAAACACACTCTTGACTGTGTACAGAGTCTGAACAAAGTAAAATGCAATTCTGTAAGGTGCACCATATTACCCTTTAGGAAGAGATCTCAAATGGGGAGTGCCTGCTCTGTGCTGTGGACGGACTGGCATTTACAGTAATAAGTATGAGGCAACAAAGAGCTGCTAAAGAGATGATGCCTGTCTGGGGCCCTTTTAGCATGAACACAGAGTGTAGGATGAGATGGGGATAAGACAATTGCAGAATTGTGTTTGGGACTGTTGAGACCTCAGTATGAAGGTTGTACCCAGATGAGGGCAACACACGTCAAGCAGGTGATGGAGGAGTTGAAGGGAATCCCGAGTAGAACACAGACCTATTGGCAAGATGGAAATCTGGTTGAAAGGATTGATTTTTTTAATGCTTTTTAATCTGTGAAATTGTGACCATGACAAAAGTTTACAAATACTCTAAATGGTGGTTTTGGAGTGTAGGAACAGTCCAAGAGATAACCAACTTATTTTTGTAGAAACACAGAATTAGTGTGGGGAGTTTTTTGTTCTTGTTGGTTTTGGGATTTTTATTTTGCTTCTCTGGACACACAATATGCCAGTTAAATTCCCTAACTCTGCAAGGGCTTTTGCGGGATTACCTTTCTACTGGCTCAGCTGGCTGACTTGACTCTCCACATGGTCAGGCGAGTGCCAGGTCACTGCACGCAGAGGACCAGGTCATTGGAGTCTGCCGGGGAAAGGAGTGGGAGTAAGAGTAGGAATTTTCCTTTGGCATTGGCTCAGCTCTGTCATGTGACTACACCTTGGGACTGAAATCTGGTAGTATTGCTCCTGCTAGGTATTACCTCTCACCTAGGAACAGGGGACTGCCACTGAATTCGGTGGGAATATTCACAAGAAAGGGCAGCAGAATCTGACTCATACAGGGGCAGTTCTGATCGATGGAAAATATATGAGGATTTCTTGTTTTCAGGCAGAGCAGATGGCAAATTTCCCTCAAAATTTCTAAGACTACGAGCTTTAGTAATCCTCTTACCTCAAGCAAAAATTGATTTATGGTTGGGACAAAGATCAGAAGAAGAAAGAAATACATGACAAAAACCAAATGGTCAGAAACATCTGTGTTAAATGAAGCAGAAGGCACTATGAATCAGCATGTAATCTGGGGACACTACCCTCTACAAACTAAAATCTCGGTTGTAAATGAAAGCTCCAGGGTACGATTGATAACTGATGTCTGCTAATACCCAGATCTTTGTCTGCTAACAGTCATGATAATCCACTTGGAAGTATTTTATTTCTCTGAATACAAAAACATTGGAAAAATCTTTTTAAGTGCTTGCACTTGGCACTGAATGCCTAGACGTGAGATAATGTATATAGGAATATACTGCTAAGCAAATTTTTAAGTCCATCTCAGCTGCCACTGTGTTGTCTGAAATATAACATGCCTTATCAGTTTCCATAGGGTGCCGCAAGTGTATATCCTGGAATCACAGGAAGAGTAATTAAAAAAAATTGCTCACTTAACATCATGAATTGCTTCCGAATGATCTAAAGGTTAATTATCACTTGAAAGGTAGCTGCTATATGAAGCAAACGTCAAGATTTTGTAGACCGAATGAACCTGCAGAATAAAATGAACCCAAGTAAAATACCTGTCTAGAAAAGCTCAAACCATCACTTCTCGAAAGTTTTGGCTTCCAGGAGATTCAGTCTTGCATGTAATTTTTAAGCACTGAGATCCACCTGGAAAATGTTACTACCTCTTCTTAAGTTCTCTACCTATAAAGCGGAGCAACACTATATCTATGTTCCCTACCTAAACTGATAACTCTTAGAAATGTTCTGTTCTCAGGATGTGAGTGTGAAGAACTCACTGCCCTGGGGTATTTGTTGTGTTTCCAGGTTGTAGACACGACTGTAGCAGAAGGAATAACTATTAACAAGGAAGCATGAATTAGGCATGACTGCTCTTACAAATTATTAATTTCAACTATTTTGAAAATTCACTGGAAGTATATTTGTAAGAATGTTCCTCATTCATAGGAAATACATGAAGCGGAAAAGGGTGAAATCCAACATGTGGAACATACCATTAACAAGTTAAAAACCATTACTTCCTAACTCCATGGTTGCCACTGAAGTCTATTTCCAACTTTAATGTAGCCCCATACTTGCGCTTTTCACAAAGGGACAGTGTGTAAGGAGGAATACCCTAATTCAGTGTCCAGTGAATTGATGGAAAGGCTCTCGGGAAGCTCTTTGGAGTGAGTTTGTGGTACTGCTATTTTTTAGAATGTGTAATGATTTCCACAGGGTTTGTATGTATTCAAAATGTCTGCAGGATTTGTATGCATTTAAAATGTGTCTGCATAATGCTGGGAGGAATTTTGCCTCTACGCAAAACTAACCAGTGAGTTCTGTACCCCATACAGAGAGTTTCCTGTAAGTTTGGCTGTAGCCGTGCAGAGGATGCATATGGAGTCGAAGCACAGAGTAAGTCCGAATAGAGTCCTGTGTCCAATTCACAGTCTGACAAAGTCCATTTTAAGATTATAGTCTTGTTCTATTACCTGGATTTCTTTGAAAAAATAGGAATGTCTTGAGTGTTTTCATTCATCAAGAGAATTACTACTACTCTTGTTTCTTTTAACAAGTACAATGAAGTTAACTCTGTCCTACAGTAAAACTTTTTTCCCTCCCTTTCATGGACCTGAGACTTGTTGAATCCAGTCTCAACTGTTTAAGATGATACTTTGTTGAGCACGTGTCCTTGACCTGTCTGCTATCTTGAAATCGTTGCAGAAAGCCCCATAACTTACGTGGGAACGATTGTGCCAATACAGTGTTGAAATAGGTCCCTTGAAAATCTCTTCAGAAGTCTCCTATACCTTCTCTAGATCTCTATTCAGCAAAATTTTACCAAGTATTTGTAACTAAAAGTGCATTTACACAAGCACAGAGTTGTAGTCACATTTGCTTGGCCCAGTTCAGGCTTACTTATCAAACTATCTTTAAAATGTCATGTGATTTATTCAGCAACATTTTCAATATATTCTTTGGGATTGGCGGTGTAATAGGCTTTTACCCTTAAGACCCAGGGATTGCCATGAAAGGTTTTTTCCTACTGTTGTGTTGTATTTTCCCCTCAGACTACTTGAACAAGCCTAGAGCACCTTTTGCATCTACCGTTGGAAGCCACAGTGTCACATTAGGGTGGAAGCCAGCTAACATCTCTGGGGTGAAATATATCATCCAGTGGAAGTTCAATCAGCTCCCTGGAGACTGGAGGTACACAGAGGTAAAGAAGGATTCTTCCTTTTACTTTGCAAGGAAATAGGTTCTTCTCTGGTCTTCATCTGATGTTAGAAAAATATTGGATAATATGTTAGGCACACAGAAGAGGCTTGCAAAATCATGAGTAATATGGAGAAGCTGAGAAGTGGACAATTATTCCCTGTTTCCTCCTACACAGGAACTAGGGCCTTTGATGGAAACTAGCAGGTAGCAGATTGAAAACTAGCAAATGAAAGTATTTCCTTGCTGAACGTGTAGTTAAAATGTTCAGCTGCCTCCTGGCACGTGTGGATATTAAATTACTGAATTTAAACTCCTAAATATTAAAATTACTAAAATTATTAAATGGGGTTTGAAAAGTGCTGGACAAATTAATGGAAGAAAAAATTGAGTTCTACTAAATGCAAACATTGCCATTGTTTCATGTTGAGCCATGCTTATAAAATGCCAAGACTGAGAGTATTCGCGAGAAATATCACTGTAGGCTTTCATTTTTCACTCCTTTCCCTAGAGAAATTTTTTTGGTTCTTGTCAAAGACACAATACTTGGCTAGATAGATATTTGTTGTGATTCAGTACGGTTATTCTCATATTATGTTCTCTTGCGTCAACTATACACTTGTTATCTTGCCAGCATCTCTGTTGGACCAATTTACAGAGCGTGGCAAGTTGGTACCACAAATGAAAGGTAAAGATAATTTGCTAAGCAGGAAGTTCTTCTGAATTAATCATTGGTGAAATAATGGGAAACAATGACTTCAGACCATAAATATTTTAGGGTAACTAGGAGCCTTTGGGTTGTAAAGCTGTAGTATATGTATCAAAAGTTTAAAATGCATTGCTGGTAATATGTTATTATTTTAGTTTTTTTACCTTATTCTTAAAATTTACTATTATATTGCATCCAGCCTTCCATCCATCCACTTATTGTTTAGATTTGGTAGCACGGTCTAAAGAAGAGAGAAGAGAAAAAGCTCTGAAAGGATGTAAAATCAAAGTCTATGCTGAAAATAACTCCCAGAATTTCCTCTTGTTTAAACTTAGGATGCTGCACTTTTGTATCCTGAAAAATGTATGTTGTTGTATGAGACCTCTTTTGCCCTGATAACACCCTACGTAGTAACTGCAGCTGGAGGAAGAAAAAAAAAATGATTGTGTCTGTGCATTAATCTAGGTAGTATCTGAAACTTCATATACAGTCAAAGACCTTCAAGCCTTCACAGAATACATGTTTCGAGTAATTTGGATCATTACATCTCAACTGCAGCTTCATTCTCCATCTAGTCCCAGTTACCGGACACGTGCTTTTGGAGGTAATGAATTGCACTGTTAATTGCATCTTTCAGGTCCGTATCAGAAACATTTAGGGTTCCTTGTTGTTTCTTTCACAGAAAACATTGATGCTTAATATTCAGAGTAATGTGTATGATGTCTGTTGGATAGCTGTGGAAGACCAAACTAAAATACTACAGGTCCTTTTTATTTGAACTAGAAAATTTAGGGCTGCTTCCGGCTTTTAGTTTTAAAAATGTGCACAGAAAAGTACATGGTCAAAATTGTGAGGGCACAATGGAGACTTCTGTGCATAATTATGCGTGTTAACTTTTTGACTGAAATACACACGTGTTTTTCTGGAGACTAAAAAATGTTAACCATTGCTGAAATTTTAAGTTGTCCTTAATCATATTTATTAGATTAAATGAATTAACAGGTATGAAACATAAAAATGTACCTAAAAAAAGAAAAACCATTAATGTCTTGAATGCCATCCCAGAGTCAGTTATTTCTGTCTCTTGCAGCTCCTGCAACAGCTCCTGTCATTAAAGATATTCAGAGTTCAAGTCCAAACACTGTGGAAGTTAGTTGGTCTCCGCCACTTTTTCCGAATGGATTGATTATTGGATATAACTTGCTCCTGACCAGTGAGAATCACGAACTGTTGAGAGCCTCAAGAGGGCATAGCTTTCAGTTCTACTCCACCTTCCCAAACAACACTTACAGGTACAAAAAGAAAAGATAGCCAACGTGGCCCAGCGTGCTGTACCACTTCTGGCCCAGATAGTACAGGGTATGCCTAAATACCACTTCTGCACAATTACGCTGTTTACTTACGTTCTTGCCAAAAGCAAGGGTACCTTCCTTGAGACAACAGAGTTATTCTGGATGAGTTGGCTGCTTATGTGGAAGTCAGATGGGGAGGAAGGAAAAGCAATTTGATATTGGGCCAGCAGGCTGCATTTTGTTAGCTGCTGTTTTTCATTTTTTAAAGCCTGTGTGGCACTTTTTCAGTATATTCAGGGAATGGTAAAGCAGTCCTCTCTAGTCCTTTAAGCATCTGGAAAAATTCCTTCATTTTTAATAAATACTAAAGCCTACATTCTGTTTGGACTGGTGGGTACAGATCTTGCTTTGAAATGAAATTGAGCTGCTCTTCTGATTCTGAAACCCCATTTTAAATTTTAATTTAGAAGATTCTGTTGTTGTCCCACATTTAGGGAATTCAGATTCTGGTTAGTTTTATTTTTATTATAAATTCCACAGGGTATTTATATTTAAATGGGTGTTTTCTGAAAGTCAAATACTTCTGTAGCAGCTGTCCTACTTGATAAAATGTTTCTCAGGCGGTCTTTCAAATGAAACCTGCAAACCAAAACCTGTTTCTTTGGTTCATTGTAGGTTCAGCATTGTAGCAGTTAATGAGGTTGGTGCTGGACCCCCTGCTGAAGCCAACATCACAACTCCAGAATCCAAAGGTACAAGAGTAGCAGAGTTCTTATCGCTGTCTGTTCCTGGGGACAAAGTCATGTTTGTCGGGCTGCTGTGTACCTGGCAGAAGAGAATAATATTTAGACTGTAAACAGTGCATGACAAGGAGTTGTACACTGAGGAGTCAATAGCATATCAGAGAGAGTCCTGTTCTTTGGCTGTAGATATTATTAGGCTATACAACATGGTAATAACCCAAGATCCTGGTAGACCCAAACAAATTTGCCCTGAGTTGTATCACAGATCAAAAACATCTCAGTGGTCCGAAACAGTGATTGAGAGGACACGCTTCCATTTTCTAGATGAGATTTTAACAGCTGACAAACAAATGTATTTCTTCTAATAATATTAAATACTTAACATGAAACTCTTCTGTCAAAACATCGTCAATTATCTCATGCCAAATATGTGAAATCATATCAATTTTTGTTGCTCTTTCATGGCTGTATTTATTTTACTAGATTAACTAATTATTAATGAAAGTCATGATACACTATGGGTATCACTCAAAGGATTGCAGAAATATTAATTAATTGCTAGGGAAATGTACATGCTGAGATAGAGCACAAGTGAGAATGAAATCAATGTTACCAAAATGTATCTTTAGAAAAGAAAACAAAGGACGCTCCCCTCCTCCTGAAGAAATTCACTTATCAAACACCTGGAAACTCTTCAACTCTAGCAAACACTTTAAGTCTGTCTCTGAATCGCCAGTCTTCTGCTACTGGTTAGAGAAATTGAACTTAGAATTTCTCCAGTACTTTTTAAAATATGACTTCTTTTTTTGTGATAGCTCAGAGACACTGATATGTCCTTATCTGGAGACTCCGCAGAGGTTTGCTCTAGGGTTGTCTGACTCTGAGCCGTAAACCTTTGTGACATTTGTGAAATGTCCAAACTGGTACCTCTGACTGTGTTCATTAAGTCAAGCCAATTACCAACCAATTAATTTAAGGTAGAAAACAAACAAATGACCCTACCCCAAAAAAACTACCTTCTGGGAGTGGGGAACCATCTGACATCTCCTTACTAGTCACCATGTAAAACTTCAGTTGATTCCCCCTGAATTGCACTGGCATGCGTTTTCTCTCTGTGCTAATGAGAAGAGTAACAACTGTTCCTCACGTATCAGCTTCAGAAATGGTGTTAGTGGATCAGATACTGAACTGCCTAGATCTGAATCCCGAGAACAGTTAGGGTAAGAATGTGATCTCTGGGCTAGATTGCAAGAAATGTCACTGGAAAAGAGATAAGGAAGTGATATTGCCTCCCTACTGTGCTTCGGAAACATCGTTACTGAAATGACTCGCTGCGTGTGCATCATATGAGAAATACATTCAGCTCAATCTCTGCAGGTTATCTGGGAATAAATTAGGACAGCATTTGATCACAGTCTTGTGATACCCATATGAGGAAATGGTATCTGATAGCAGACAGATGTTTAAACTAGAGCAAAAAAAAAAAAACGGAGGGAAGAATTATTTAGAAACCGAAAGTAGCCGAATTCAGACTTGAAATAATGCACCACTTTTTAAAATGAAGGTAACTACCTCGTGAACCAATTTAGCAGGAGACGTGTTAGATTTCCAGAGATCTGAGATTCAGAAGCAAGACTAGCTGTCTTTCCCAGAGCTATGCATAGCGCAGACAGAAGGTATGGATTTGCTGCGGAGGTTTTGATGTAAGTTACTTGGGCCTGTATAAGCATGAAGTCAGCTTATGTGACCAAAGCTCTCCTTCTTGACTTTAAAATCTGTGACTTATTAAAAAAATAAATAAATTAATCAACTTTGAAGCAGATCGTACTATCCCATTATCACCTTTATCTGTGAAAACTACTTGTTCCTTGCAAAAATCGCTGGTCAGCATGATGAAATACATGAAATAAACATACTTGCTTTGCTCTTCCCCAGCTCTGTAGGATAATATTCTAGTCTGACTGGGCTTTTCAAAGAGGTCCAGGGGGTCAAATATCCCTCTTCTGCTGTATCTCAGAGTCACAGGGATGTCTTAATGCCTTTGTTTCCTCAGGAGTCCGTAGGGCCTCATTTGCCCCAGCTTACTTTCGCTTACCAGGGACTCACTACTGTCACGGGAAATGACAGTGTGAAATTCATGTGGTGCATTGTCACCTGGGATGAGAAGCCAGAAGGCACCGTAATGGTGAATAACTCCGTCTTCAACACTCAAGGAGTTTTAGTCTGTCATTGCTGGTGTAAGAATATATTCATACATGTACATATGTGCGTGCATGTGTATATATGCATGTCCATTAATGATGTATCTGAGTTAGCAACATTCTTCTCTGTGCTGCAGTCATTTATCTGAATTCTGAATTCCTCTGTTTGTTAGTTAAGGAAAAAGCAACATGGCTCTTCCTATCCAGAAACCAGTCTTTAAGGAAGAGATACACAGAACATTTCCTCGAAGCTGCCCAGTGCCTGCAAAATGGTTTTATACACCACAACATTACAGGTAAAATCAGTCTGGGCTCTCTCCTTTTCTCTCAAGTATGACTTAGACCTCTGTGTTCACGAAGGACAGAGCGCACCTCACCTAGCCTGAGACAGTATCTAGCCTCCCTTCATACTCAATGGGGTGAAATAGGAACTTTCAGGACATGATTTGACCTATTTGAAATGACAGGCACTGGGAAGAGATAAATTGTTCTCCCCAGTACAACCTTTTCTTCACTGAATCCAGGCAGCTACTTCAGAGCTGGACTTTTACATAGTAGGTATCTAAATTGAGATAATATGAAGCCAAAGCAGATGTTTCCTGTGATTAATGACTGTATTTTCTCAACATGAATGTGGAGAAGTGAAGTGGTTCAAACCTAAGAATTAAATAGTAAGAAGTGTCAAAAGATACTGGCTGAAGAGTATGCTAGTGTGTTAGCTAGTCTGGGGCACAGAGCTCTGTAACAAAGCATTTAGTAGCCTAAGTCACCAGACAACCATGCTATCTCAAATTACTCACCACTCTGATGTTTACTATCTACACTGGTGCCGTATTTGGACCTTGGAGACAGTGTGGAAATCTGAGTTTATCTACAGAAGTTCACAGGGCCACAAAGACACCAGAGAACGAATGTTGCCCCTGACTAAATACCCTTTGATACTACAGGGGTGGCACAGATAATGTCTAGTTTGAATTCTAGAGTGAATGGTGCTTTGTGAGGAGATGCCAATTGCATCTGTTTGCCCTGCAGAGGGGCAATCAGTGTCAGTTGGTTTGCATGTTACATATCCTCTCTTTTGCCTGATTACCTTTCTGAAGGGCAATTGTCTATGATAAGGTCACTTATATAGCAAATGGGAGTTTCCTTATTATCTGAAAGAAGTCTAGAAGTGGAGGAGAAAAAACAGTTAACTTTTCTCCAATGATGTTGTGTTGCAGCTTGAAAAATACTTCTTTTTAAGGCAAATAGAAAAAGTAACTGAAAAACTGAAACTTCTTTCATATGTGGTCTGTGTGCACATATCTTTCTATTTTTAGGAATTTCTGTGAATGTTTATCAGCAAGTTGTCTATTTTTCTGAGGGAAATTCCATCTGGGTGAAAGGAGCTGCAAACATGTCTGATGTATCTGACCTAATGCTCTTTTATGCTGGCTGGGGGAATATTACGTCCATCTCAGTGGACTGGCTTTACCAGAGGATATACTTTGTCATGAATGAAAAGGTAGTGCTCTAGGGCTTAATTAATTTCTTATTTCATTTGAACCATTACTGTCATATATTTTACATGAGAAAATCTGATTTATATCTAGATATGCATGCACAAAATATAATTATAGAAATAGATTTTTTACTTTAATAATATTCACATATTTCAGAGTTTTAAAAAAGAAGAAAGGCTTGACTATCAGGTCATATTTAAAGCAAACAGGCTATATGGAACTCTGGCTTCTTGTCTTATTTTTCTTCTTAGGACATAAAAAACTTTGATTTTAATTCCTTTGTTTTTGAGACTGACTTCACACGCTCCTCATACAAGCGACTTTGTTTCTGTTGTTTCGTTCCCCAACTTTGTTTCTGTTACTTGATTCTCCATCTAGCCTGTTCAGTTCCTGTTCTGCCTCAGGAAGGTGGACAGACAACTAGTTAGTGATTATAATGCCCTTCATAATTGGCAAAAGATGTTCAAGAGGGAAAGTGTTTCATATCTGTGATGACAGCTCAGATTACAATTGTTTCAACTTGAAGTATAAATGTAGATGGCAATCCTGGACTTGATTCCCTACTCATAAAGCAATTACGCGATTACGGTAGTGGGCAGACTTTGCATATACCTTTGTAGTCCTCTAATGCACGAAAGACTAGAAAGTTGCCCTGAATGGTCAATGAGAGATTTATTTTTTTTTTTCCAGTCCTCTTGCCATGTCTGAATTTTCACTTGCTGCACAGGGAACAGGGAGCAGGAAAAGCAGTAGTGATAAAAAGATACAAACGAGCTGTAGATGAACAGACTGATGGCAGGGATTTCTGAATCCATTGCAGGTTGGAGAAGTCTCAAGGTATTGCTCCCAGGATCAGAAAAGTGCTTCCTTCCCTCTTTTCCCTTCCCTGCCAGATCATTTTCCAAGTACAGTTTGCCTATAGCCCCCAAATCGGGCTTTTCCCTCCAGCATAGCGGTAGGAAATTAAGAGGAGGATGACTGACAGACAGCTCTTTCAGAGTAAGCTGTCATGGATGCATTCGTACTCGTGTGCAAGTGTTATACTCGGGTGACTGACAACTCAGGAGCCCAGAAGGACCTAGGATTGTGAGAGAGATGTTTCATTGCCTGGTTCCCCTGAAGGAATCTCGGGTCAGTTTGTTTGCTCATTAGCAAATGCCCTATGAATGCATCACCACTTTTTCTTCTCATTCCCCAGATACATGTCTGCCATTTAGAGAACTGCACAGCAGCTGAAGACATCACTCCTCTTTATGTGACATCCCCTAGGAAGGTTATAGCTGATCCTTATAATGGGTAAGTGTCCTCCTTTGAGCACTTAGTGTCAAGGGTGCTATAAAGCTCCTCTCTAATTTTCTTCACTTCATTGGTCATTTAGGTTCCTGTTTCAAACTCTTGCCTTACCAAAACAAAAGTGCAATTGGCAACAAATAACAAACTACAAAACAATTGAAACAAGAGTGACACCATGGAGTGGTGTTTTCTGCATTCTCTTCCCTAGGATGTTAGTAGAGGAGATAAAGTATTTCCAATGCAGAAATTTGGTTTTCAGACATTCAGTGCTTTTATGAATATGAAGCTCTATGCATTTCAAATGTCCATACTTAACAGTTGAAGTATTATGGAAAAATATTCTCCGATAATCTGCCAGCCAAATCCCCAGAAGGTAAAAAAGTGATGTGCTTAATTCTCCCAGGATGTATATTAATAGCACCCAAAGCATTTTCCTGTTGTCTGTGTAAAGACAGGCATATCTCTGAGCTGTTAAAATATTTGTGACTCATCTACAGAGTTCTTGCACTGTAGTTATTTGGGTCTATTTTGTTCCATGGCCAGCTATATTTTCTGTCTCCTGGAGGATGGGATATACAGAGCAAACCTTCCACTCTTTCCTGGTACCGCCTCCTCAGCCTCACCAGTAGTGAAATCCAGTGCTCTGAGAGACTTCATGACCAACTTCCAATCTAAGAGACTTATTTTCTTCAACAAAACAGAACAGGCTTTTGTGTCCGTTTTTTTGGATGGTTCAGAATGTCACACACTGCGATCACATGTGCCACTTAATGACATGGAGAGCTTTGTTTATGAGGACAACACGTTTACTGTCACAGATGGCCAGACAGTTTTCCATGAGGAGCTCTCTCCAGAAGGGAGTTCTAGCTTCAATGAATATGTTGTGGATTGCAATTTGGTGTATCCAGAGTACTTTGGCTTTGGCAACTTGCTTTTCTATGGGACATCAACTCAGCCTTTTCCGTTACCAACTCCTCCTCGGCTTGTCATGGCGCTATTTGGATTGGACCAAGCTGTGATCAGCTGGAGACCACCTGAACACACTATTGGAACCAGTAAGTTCAGTTGTTTCTTCCTGAAAGTCCACTCCTTTTCATTCCAGAAGAATAACTTCCTGATTTCCCTTTTCCTGATATGGGCTTTGGTAACTTCAATAGCCAATCCTACTGGAAGATGTGGAATTACATCCATTTGAAAAATTTAATCCAAGATTTGCCAGCAAAATAACTGAATTGTCTGGCTCAATTAATACCGGTTTATATTGATAATTCATTTGTAAGGGATTTTAAGCAAGGCTCCATCTTAAGTATGGTATGGAGTAGCAGTGATGTTGGTTGCTGATACCACACAGAAAATGCATGCCAGAGGGGTAATGACTTTTGATCAGTGACTGTGCTATGGTCTCTGTCCTCTGTGTCAGGAAGAGGAAGTCTGTCTTTGAACAGCAGTAAATTACCTGGTTGGGGAAAATTTTGGTTCTTCCAACTCCATTCTTCATGGGGGATTGAACCACTACCTTTGGTTGGTCTCAGAGCCAGAGAGCAAATTTTTGATTTATCCCTTTCTTAATTCCCCTGATACTGTCATTTTTGAAATGAGTCTCCAATGTACAGGTTTCTCAAAGAATGTGTATCATCTGTTACAGCCATCTACTCTGTAATAACATGTTTGTTTGCATCTCACAGGTCTGTCTGCTTGGCAGAACTGGACCTATGATGTGAAAGTGTCATCTCAGCATCCATCTGAGGAGGAATGGGTTGTCTCAAATATTCGTGACACTAGGTTTACAGTGAAGGAACTGGCCAGCTTCACAGCTTACGAAGTGTCAGTCAGAGCTGTGTCTCCTGCTGGTGAAGGGCCATGGTCAGAGTCATTTAGAGGCACAACTTTAGAAGAAGGTGAGAGTTGCTTTGTCACCCATGAGAAATGAACAATGAGTTATGCATACAGCTTTCCACCTGGTGAGGCAAATGCTTTGGGCGAAGGCTGCAAAATGAGGGGCACAAAAAAGATTGTCTCAGAAACATTAAAGAATATGAGATAAGTAAATTTACTTTTAGTTAAAGTAGTAAGATTCTCAAACTACAATAATGGTATTATATATTATGTATTTGTTATTACAACTTATATACATTTTTCTAATGCCAATACACTATCAAACACATTATTTGATACACTATCAAATGAACAAGTACGAGAGGTGTTATTCCTTTCCCGTGCTCTGTAAAGCACTGTCAATGATGAAGTGGTTTGAGCAGTGTCTTGGGGGTTTATGACAGTTTATGGGAAAGTGCAGGCTCACTAAAAGCTGGAAATCCTTGGTTTGAGCATAGATAATGGGGGAAATGGATGTGTGCACAATGTCTGAGATTTGCAGATCTTTGGAATGTTTTTTGAAACCTAGTTTACCCATAATAACTTATATCTGAGGGGAAAATAGCTTTCAGCTTAAGGCACTGGACTGGCACTTGAGATGAGGGGTGAGTTTTGCCTGACTTTGGTAAGGTCAGGTCCAATACACAGTGGTTTTTAAATTGCCTTATTCTTCTACATTTAAACCAGCCCTGAATCTCTGAGTTTCTCAAATTATGATATTATCATGCTTTTCTTCTTTGTCCATTATTCATTAGGAGAGGAGCAGTTTTAACTGTGCTTCTGTAACTTTCCAGAAACAGGAACACCTGCTGTTGAAATACAAATATTATGCAACAATTCCTTGTGGCATGCACAACTACAGTTTTCTTTCTTTATCAGCTGAAGAAGAACCGTATATGTTGGCAGTGGGGGCTGAAGGGCTCTGGAAGCAGCGGTTGGATAGCTACGGGCCAGGAGAACTTCTCTATCCTCATATAAGAAATATTTCAGGTAAATACTAAACAAACTGCATGCTGCTGCTACAGACATGTTGGCTTTTATCAGCTCTCCATAAATTTCAACAACAGAACTGAAGGACAAGAGCTTTCACTGCAGCAATCTAGACTTCAGTGCAGTGAAGCAGTTTCACTGAGCCAAGCCTTTGTGTCCATCCTTTTTCTTCTATTTTATGGATCAAATTAATCCTTAGTGAAACCCTACTGACATCACCACAGTTACAGCAGAGATAAAATCAACTCTCTGAATGAAACAGTTCTGCCTCCAGCCTCCCAATATATGTCAGACATTTATACTCATCAGGGCTATATATGTACTATATATGTACATTGTATTCCTATAAGGAAGTATCTGTCTTCATGTCAACTGAGCATAACTGTTCATCTGCATTGATTTTTAAAAAACTGAAGAGTCTGGCTACTTTTTATTCTTCAAAAAAAAATGTTTATTTACATGTTTGTGAAATGCTTAATATTTTTCCTTTTTTCTTCAAGACCTCGACTGGTATAATGACACTTTTTATTGGATTAATTCCATGGGGGAAGTTCAGACCTTGTCATTGAATAAAAGAGAGGGTACCACTGAGAATACTTATGTACCTGACGTCAGAAATGCTAGGATGTTGGCCTTTGATTGGTTGGGTCAATGCTTGTACTGGGCTGGCAAAGCAAATACGGTAGGTATAGTTGCACTTCTTAAAAGGAAAAAAAAAACCCTAAAGTCAACAAGAAAGACTGTAAAATGATATTTAGGAAGATAAGCCTTATTTCTTGCAACCTGAGATGCATTTGGACCTTTGCTATTATAGTGTAGAACAAGGAGGCCTTTCTTCCCGTGTGTGATTTTCCAGAGTTATACACAAGTTTGGGGTAAAATGTTTGCTAATGTTTACTAATGCAGGATATTGAATTCCAGGTGCAAAACAGGCAAATCAAACATGCTATCAACAGTTTTGTGGAATTCAACATTGTGAAAATAAGTGAAGATAGTGAAAATGGAGGCTGCCAAGTTGATCTCAGCTAAGAAGTAGATGGACTTTATTTTAATCTAATTTGACATGATTTGTTTACACAGAGATTTTCAAGATTGGCCTCTGTACTGTGATATTTTGCAGATCACTGCAGATAAAAAAATAATTACAATTGCACTTTGTACACTCTCATATCAGGAACACTGACGTGAATTATTTAAAAGGTATCTGACTTCAAAATTGCAGTGCTAATTTATGCAGTGCTGTCAAATTATGCCTTTCATTTCTTGTAAGTGCAAAGTCAGAAGCTGTTTTAAAAACTGGAACTAGGAGGCCAGATTTCACACTGCCTTGCACCCTCATTTACACTTGTGAATAGTGAATATGAAGTGGGTGAGAAACTCTGTCAGACAGAAGGCTGCCAAAACTGGGAAAGCCAAGGGGAAGAGATATTTCAGCTATTCAGATATTTTCTTTTGTTACTTTCTGTGCAAACATTAACTAATAATTTTGCCTTATTCTTCATCCTTATACTTTGAATGCAAAAGGTTTAGGCTTTGAAAGCCTAAGGCTTGCATAAGCTTCTGATAAACGGCTGTGGAAAAGTCACTTATGTATACTCAATTGATCATGGCTGATGATTTAGGTGTGATGCTAAAAGCAATTCTTTTGTCTCTAGATCTACAGAAAATCACTGCTGGGAGGCCATATGGATGTTGTGGCTCATGTTGTGTTCCTAGTGAAGGATCTAGTAGTGGATTCAGTAAATGGCTATTTGTACTGGGCCACAACGAATTCAGTGGAGAGCGCAAGACTGAATGGAGAGGAGTATCTTATGTTACAAGAGCAGCTACAGTTTTCTGGTAAACAGGTGACTGATTTTTTTGTTTGTTTGTTTTAGTATGTTTCAGTGGTTTTTTTTGTTTTGTGTTTAGGGTGTGTTTTAGTGGTTAGATTGCTTGGCTACAGTCAGTGTTCATGGTTGTCAAAATCGACAAGTTCTGACCAGAATAACATGCCTTTCTTGCAATATTTTTATATAATTTTGAGAATAGGGTAAGAATTAAATCATGTATTAGCTGGACCAAAACTTTGGCCTGTAATTCTAAAGTCAGACCCTTGCAACAAAATGTGGCATTAAAGATGTCCTTACGGTTGTAATGCTGCTCCTTCCCATATGTGAAAGGTACTTGCTTTTCCCAAATGACTGAAGTCTAATGGTCGGTTCTGGCTTTCCCATCAAAATATGGTGCCAGAGCTCCACAACATCCTACCTCCTTTGTGATGTTCCCCAGCTTGCAGGTCTTGACAGGGCTGGGGACACCGGGGTTGCAGTTCAGGCTGCAGAGGTGCTGCTGCAGAGACAGACTTTGTCTGTGCTGATGAGAGAGGGGGGCTGGCAGCTGGTGCCGTACTTGTGCTCAGCAGAGCTGGCTCCTGCCGTGGGCTGGCACAGCTTCCCACTGCTGCTGCTGCCGCAGTGCTGGTGAGGGTGGCAGGTCTACCACTGACAGTCCCCATCCTGCCTGTTCTTGTCGCTCGTGCGGTGGCAGGAACAGCGAGTCCTGTGCTCTGGGGATCTTTGAGGCTCTCCATCCCCAACTTGCCCCTTCCCCATCTTCTCTTTCTCCCTTGCCCGAGTCAGACACAGGCCTGGCCCCAGCTTGGCCCCTCTTTCTTTGCTCCAGGCTGCTGGGGGGCTCCAGAAGGCTGAGAAGAGTCTGCTGCAGAGCAGGGCAGCTCCTCAGGGAGAAGGGAAGGGGGCTTCTTGCAAGAGTGAGTAAAGGTAGTGGACAGTATAGGTGGAAAAAAGGGATGGGATGTTGTTGTTTTAGCTGTATTAAGGTGGATAATGTATCCCATGCAGGGGTAGGATGGTAGAGGAGAAATAGAGATGCCATTCCCACCTATAGCTCACCAAAGCCCCTTCAATATGTGGGACCCCACTAACTCCCCTTCCCTACCTGAAGACTATTTGATGGGCTCTCATCCTCACAGACAACCTCTGTGTCTCTGCTGGCCTCTCCCATGCCTTTCTTCTCCATTCACCCCTCTCTGATGTCCTATCAAGCCTCTTAAGACCTTGGTTCACTGCTGGCTCCTCATAGATCATTGTTGCCTTCCCAAAACCCATCCTGCCTCAGCTACCATGTGGGATTTGCCATGCCTGGGATTTGCCCTCATTCTTACTTAGGTGGGATTCAGTGTTGCCTATGCAGCGAAGGAACTCTGAGACTGAATATTCACCTCATGAAAAGATCTACCAGGGTCTCAGCAGCTGCATATGTCCTTCCTTTCCTTCCTTTCCTTCCTTTCCTTCCTTTCCTTCCTTTCCTTCCTTTCCTTCCTCCCTCCCCTTCTCATGCAACTGGGAGAAAAGTGATGGATGACCCAGTTCCCTGGCAAGAGAACCCCTTACTACCGTAACAGGGACCGGAGGACTCTGGGAGTCGGTGTGATTGGGACTGCAGACCCAGTGAACCTTTGAAATTTTTCCAGGCTGTGTCCTGAGCAGGTCAGGCTGAAGGACCACCCCATCTGTTGCACGGCTTTTACTCTATGGAGTTTCTCTCAAAGAAAAGGTGAATGCTCTTCAGCTCAAACCACAGCCTGTGTGGGGTTTTACCCTCTGTCCCGAGTGCTGGAGTGAGGCATAGGTTGACTGCCACAGAAGAGGTCAACTCAGATATATTATTTGCTGCAACAACTTTCTTTAAAACACAGCTCTTGCTAAAGAAGCCTTTGTTTTAATTCCATCATACAATTTGTACTCCCATTCTACCTGAAGCCAGGTTCCCTATTAAAGACCCTTTCCAAACTTTAGAGATCTACATCTCTTGGTTAGCTTTATATCATTCCCCAGGACATTTCAATCTCCTTTCCCAAAGGAAAAGAGGCTGGTGTTTCTATGGTTATTAAAAATATCACATATCTTCTGGGTGACCTGTTGCAAAGGACTGACAATTTGCAGTTTATTCTGAGCGGTGAATGTCACCTTCCTTGCCCTTCTCTTTTGATTCGCTACCTGTTTGGCTGAATCGCCCCATGCTAACCTCAGATTTCTTGTTCTTCTTTTCAAGAACCTTGGCAGCAATACGACTGCTTGTCTGCTCCTGTAATTTTTTATTCTGCACCTTTCTCTATGTCAGTGATACCAGCCTTCAACGATCCAATTATTCACACCTCCTACAAACAAATATCTCCTCTCCTGCTTCTCTGCTGCCCCTAATCCATGCACTGACTTCCTGAACTCAGCCTCCTGCCATGATGTATACAGGAAAAAAGCCAAGTAAAAACCTCTAGATTGAGAAGTGACCAGTTATAGCTCACGTGTTTGTTTATTAAAATAAACCCCAAAACAAACCCATTGGAAAAAAAGAGGCAGTACAACATTCTTCAATGATGGCATTATTGAGCTAGTCATTATTGTCCCATATAAAGATGCAAGTGTATGTTTGCACAAGTACTAGTATGTATCTTCCTTGCACAATGGAGTCCTTTATCCTGAAAAGAGTACCTCTTACCTCAATATTAAAACACAGATGTAATAGTTAATTGTTGTTATCCAACAGTTAGAGCATGTTCCCTACATAAGTGGTTCTTACTGGTATTTACTAGCTGTTTTTCTAATAAAGAATTGCCGTTCAGCTGGTCAGTATGGGATCTGCAGCATTATATAGCTGTATCTCCTTTTAGCTTGAAATCTGAGTGATAGGAATAGAAGAGACTACTATGGAGATGACAGGTTTCCTAAAAAAATATGTAGGCAGAGCTTTGAAAGTCTAATTTCTTTGGCAGGAACTAGATCCTTTTATGACAATTATTTTATTTTCCAATCAGTTGTTTAGCTTAGCTGGTGCATATTGGCACAGTTTGATTGATTTTGGCAGAGCTACTCTGATTTATTCCAGCCTAGGATGTGGCACAGAATTTCCAAAGCACTTAGTAAGTTGTTTACACTGTGCAATATGCCTGGGACAAAAGTAATTTGCAGGGGAGCAGCGAAGTGTGTTATATGCAGGAGGAGTCAAGACCCTGTTGGTGTCATCTCTTAATATTTCTAGCCAAGGTGTATTTCAAGTAGATAAATTTATTTTGCATCTTACGATGTTGAGTTACATTGCATGATCACAACTACATATCGTGTCCAGAGACTAATACCTCTCATGAAATGGAAAAAGTTTGTCTATTTTTGAAGCATAAGAGAAAGGAGGTATTAAATTACTGCCTAACTGCTGAGGATGAATAGTACAAATATTTGTCTTTTATTAATGGGGATACAGGGATCAGGAGAAAGAAGATGGGCAAGTCTATGGGAAAATGTCATAGCCGCAGAAAAAAAGCAGGGCAAGGAAAGAAGACCTAGACATTTAAAAAAGCAAGGTAGACTCGGGAAGATGTAATTTGGTGTTGAGCATGGGAGGGAGAATAGGTAAATGGGATAAAATATGACATGGTTGACTAGATATGCACTCAGGCACATACATACTGTGAGATATTTTTAACAGAAAAACCTACAGGAGCAGTCATTCAAACCTTGATTTTCTGACATACAATGTCAACAGAAATATGTCAAGAATGTGATTACATAAGGACCAACAGACAACTAAGTGATACAGCATTTGCTTTCCTGTCATCATCTTCCGCAGTTTATTAATGAAGAGTTAAAAAAAAAAAAAGGCTGCTCCACTTACATCCATAATGGAAATTTAAGCTTATAAAAGAATAGCTACAGCTAGTGTTTGGTCGAGAAGTTTGAGAGCTGCTGGAAAACGTGTTCAGAGAGGCTCCCAACAACTTGTAAGCTGTGCTAATGACATGACGTAGACTGAACTTGATAACATTTAGCAGACTAATTTGTGGAAGCAAATTCTTTTTTATTCACAGAACAGATTATTAGATGTCTGATTTCTATTATTGTTGCATATGGTATTGAATCTGTTGTTTACTGCAAAAGCAAGAAAACTCTGTTTTGAATATTGCATCCTATTAAAAATAAACACAAAATCTTGCACCTAGCTCAAATGAAGATGAAATATTGAAGTAATGAACAGGAAGAGTGTTTCATTGCCCCTCCCTTGACTCTTTATTTAATAATAAATGATTTACTAAAATGTAAATATTTGAATTTCCTGTTTACCCAAATACATCAACAAAAATTTTGAATGTATTTTCCTTGGATAATGCAACACATTGAGTATTGTATGCATAAAATCAAAGCTAGAAAACAAAGACAAAAGATCTGAAGTACTTCTTTCGGAAGGTGATTCTGACTTTCAGACTGGATATCAACCACCTGTTTCAGATAAAGAATGTTAAAATACCAGAGTTGTTCTGGAAATTTTGATAGGTAGTTCCATTAATCACTTGATACACTATTGCCATCATATCTGAAGTACTCAGATACTCCAGGGATGAACACTGTGACAGGTGCTCATAAAATGCTACCTAGAAAATCATCAGCTGCTGTAAATGGGTGTCCACCAAGGACCTGATTATTTTCTAATCCTTTTTGTGTTAGAATAAACATTCACGGTAGTAATGTTATTTTTGCCAATATTTTTGCCATCCAGACATGATACTGTCTAGACAACAATTATGCCTAAGGGTTTTTACCTCAGAAGTGAAGATGTGTTCAAGTTGCCATTTGGACTTCTTTTTTCTTAGGTGGTTGGTTTAACTTTGGATCTCACCTACGGTTTTCTTTACTGGCTTGTGCAAGATAGTCTATGCCTAAACCTACACAGAGTTTCTCTTTGCAAAGAAGGGTAAGTAATGTGTAGCAGAGATAAGAAAGTCTGTCTTTTCTAGGTTTTGCGATACTCTTTAAAAATAAATTTTGTCCAATGCTGGGCACACTAGTTAGTAATTTAACAATAAACAAAAAGAAGAGCTAATGATCACAGCTAGCTGATGGCAAACTACATGTTGCGATGGTTGTCAACACAGTTTTACAGTGAGAGAAACACAGTATGGAAGCTCAACTGAACTGAGGTCATGCTTATCAATTTTTAGACTTAGCTTTAGGAAATCATCACTATTTATTGTCTATTTTATCTCAGCATTTACAACACCTGACAGTTTTCAAGTGCCTAGAGCTATAACTTGTTAATCTTGCACAGAGCTTAGAACTTGAACTGACACCACTTTCTCACCTGAGCAATCTGTACTCAGCAGGCTTTTCTCTTGAGCATACTAAGCATGAAATGGCTGGATTAATCCTGAAAGGCAAAGTTCAAAAAAAACCCAAACCCAAACCCATGTTTATGGGTCAGCTTGAATATATACTAAGACCTTGAGAAAAGCGGTGATTTGTTCTGTTAGTGCCAAGTGCATGATGAGTGGTAACTCAGGAAACTACTTTTTTTCTCCTTTTCGTGTGAAGAGTACCATTTTCTTTTCCCCAAGCATCAGGTTAAACTTCTTAAACTTAGTTGAACAGTATCTGTATTTACACAGGCTCATAATGTTGCAGACTGGCTTTGTGTGGAATCAGCTGAATTTTCTGACTGATTTTAGACTTGGTATGATTAATGGTAAACATTTAAAGAATCAAAATATGTTGATTAGTTTTAGCTAGAACATGCAGCTCCATTGTGAACCAATTGGCAGCCATAAATCGTTGTCCCTGGCATGCCAGAATAGAGAGATTAGAAGTAATCCATCCTAATGGAGCTGATGGTTTGTCAAAGCTTTTCCAAATTTGTTTCGGATAGCGTGTGTCTAAGCTGAAAGACATCTCTGAGATGGCAAAATGATGCCTCTTACAACATATTTAATCTCTTAACCGGAAGATAAATTGGGACCAAAAAAAACCTGTAAGTTTTGACATAGAAGTGACAAGAGAGATTAAATCACCAGTGATCACAGTGGAGGCAAATGTTAATAGGGTTTAATAAATAATGGAAGGTTATCGAGGAAACTATCAGGGTCAAATTCAACTGGGGACCTGCTCTAATAAAGTAGAATGAACCTCATCCTGTGAAGCAGACTCCACAGTTTCAGTGGAATTGCTGAGAGAAGGTGGGCTGATTTTTCAAAATACTCAATTTTCTACATCCATGCATCAGACTATTATGCCATTTTATAATTGTTTTTGAATTAAATCAAGGGAATTAAGGCTTTTTTTTTTTTTTTTTAGGCGCTCCTGCAATTGCCATTCTGAAAAGTGTTCTGCTTTAGAGAACTTAAGGAAAACTGTTTGAATTGTTTTCCTGCCTCCTACATGAGTATTAACAATTTGAATGATGAGAAACTTATTGATGTGTCAAACATTGCATAAATCTTGTTCTCCCTACATGTGAGTTTTGAGTTTGCTAATTTCATACATGTTTTCACAGTTGTGGTAATGCCATTGTCACAGAATTTGCAGCATGGAGCACTTCAGAAATATCTCAGTGTGCACTGGAATACTACAGTGGTCGTCTGTTCTGGATCAATAGTCTTCAGTTCATTACGACCCAGGAAGTCAATCAGAGCCTTAGCATTCCCTTCTCACAACCAGCAGAGTTTTCAACTTTTACCCTTGTTCACACATCACTTAAACCTTTGCCAGGTACATTATTTTCTTTATCTAAACCCCTCAATAAAGGTATTCACTGTCAGCCTCTAATTCTTCATTCATGAAATTCTTTATTCATTTGACAAAAGATAAGAACATCAGTAGCTTATTAATAAATATATCAGGCTACACTCGGATAGTGTTAAATTATAAAAGCTGATGGGTATGGCTAAAAAGAATACATGGTGTTGCTATTAATTGTTTCTATCTAATGACAGCTTACAGAATTTTCCGTAGTACTTTAATGTTTTAAGTCAGGTTTGAAAAATCTGTCTATTGCTCATAGTCTTTAAATTATTATTATTTCTTCCTCTCTTTATGGACAGGAAATTTTTCTTTTACACCGAAAGTGATTCCAGATTCAGTGCCAGTGTCTTCCTTCAGGATTAAAGGAAATTCTTCAAGTTTTCACATCACTTGGAGTCCTTCCACAAATGTGGAATGGGGAACTGTCTTTTATTGCGTGGGATCAAAAGTTCTACGAGTGAGGCTATTCATACAATCCCTCCTTATTATCCACATGTATTACCTCATCTACTTGCTGATGTATCTATATTTAATCAGAGATACAGTTTGTTTCTTCTCCAGCATTTACAAATCGGTCAAGCAACCAAACTGAACAGTAAATATAAAGCAAGCTATCCTGTTTCTCCATCACTGAGGCCAGCACGGGAGGAACAAGGCCTTAGCAGTAGCTCTGGGCTAGCTGCTCGGGTGTGAAGTGCCAGGCGACGAACTCCCAGTGCTCAAAGACATGTGAGAAAGCCTTTCAGAGTAACTCAGAGAGAGAAGTGTCCTCTGAGCTGCCAGTGGGACAGCCTTTGCCTGAATGTGAAATTTAGCCTTCATCCACACTTAATTTTAGCACATTTGGCAAGCTTTACTTTAAATGCAGAGGGCAGATTGCGAGCAGATTGCTACGCATCACTACAGTGCCACAGAGGTGGGTGAAACAACGATCACTCACAGGAAGAAAAGCTCTGCCTTGATTTAGTTGACTAGCTTGGTGAGGGGAATTCTTGAAAACTGAAGGCCTTTCTGAGAGGGGAAAAAAATGTTTTGTTTTGTTTTATTCTGTTTTATTTCATTCACAGTCTCCGGAGAGCGAGCGGTGCCTCCATCCCCGTAACCTGACAGTGCCATCCTACCGAGTTGATTGGCTGGAACCATTTGTACTCTTTGATTTTACTGTCACTGCATACACATACTGGGGCAAGGCACCAACATCATCTGTATCCCTTCGAGCCCCTGAAGGAGGTACTAGAACTTTAAATCACATTCCTCACCCGTAACGGGTACTAGGAGCAGCTCTGTGTCAGGAAGGGAAACCCTGGAGAGGAGTGAGCAGCTTTCAGGGCCAGTCAGCTGTAGGCAGAGTTGCAAGGACACGTTCCTGAGTATCTTTGGCAATTATCTATTGCATACATAAATGCACACAATTTCAGTAATAGAGTTGGGAACAGAAAGTGCATGACAGTATATCCACCATGGGCCTATGACGATGAGCAAGAAAGAGAAATTAAGATCCATTACAGTAAGCATCAAAGGCTGCATGTAGTATCTTCACCACTTATTAAATTTTTAATAAATATTTTGCACTTTTTACTTTTTCTCAGCATTCCAGTTACCCAACACTATATTTTAGCTGACATAACTTTGGCCTGTATGACAGTAAAAATAAACACTGAAGTAAGAAGTATATATAAGCCGCTGTAGATTTTGAAGTGGGTAGGAGAGGGAATAGAGTACGCCCTGTGTTGTGAAAATTCTTCCAGCTCCATTGTTACCTACAGGACTTGGCTAAATAGACATGTCCCGATCTGAGTGCAGGAGTGCATTTGTGTCTCTATAGCTCTTTTTTTGCCAAGCGGGTTAAAACAGATACCTATACACCAACGAAAAACAGAAAGGAATTACCATGAAGTTTTAGACAGTCTTCTGTAATTTACACCTCATCAATTGCTATCTGTCTCTGTCAGCATTGGGGTGGTAAAGCTCAGGCTCAAAACTAAAAGAGTTAATTAATAGGTAGAGTTTGTGTTTTAATAGGAGTACTTTCCTCTGTGCTTTTTATCTTTTTTTTTATACAGTTCCTTCAGCTCCTACAAACCCTAGAATATATGTGTTACAAAATAACCTACATGGAAGTGATGCGAAAGTCCTTGTGGAGTTCAGGTGGGACAGACCTGAAAGGGACAATGGAGTATTAACACAGTTCAGGGTTTACTATCAACTATTGAGTCAGAGTGGCACTGCTGATAATTTCACAGAGTGGAACACGAGCAACGTTAAACCCACCCTGATGCTCTTTTCTCTCAGGGATGTGCTTCCCAGTCTCACAGTAAGGTTTCAGGTATGAAAAATTACTGAGCTTGTCTCATGCTAGATGGTAGATGTTATCAGTGCAGCCTGATGCGTTTGCCTAGGAGAAGGTATTGGGCTTGGGGCAAGAACTTGTGGTTTCTGCTTGTGGAACTGCTGATTCACTGACTCACCCTTGGATACCTGGTTTAACCTTTCTATGCGTTGTATCATTCACTAAATAAGGTGGAAAAGAATGCTGCAATATTATACAGGTTTGGTGAAACCCCAAAGAAACTTTCCTAGAGGTCTCAGAAAACCACTGCTAAAAGCTGCAAGTTAAACACAGGTTCAGTTGAGGTGGTGGAGGATGACAGGCCATTAAAACAGACCCAGAAATCAAGAGAAGTTCCACTGCTGGAGAAATGCAAGGACTCACATGGCTTCCATAAAAAGAGACTTCCATATAAAAACTTGTCCAGATGTCATGTTTGTGTTGCAATAAAAGGTTTGGAACACACAGAATAAGGGCTTCAAAGACAAGTTAAAGGCATGAGAGCATGTACTGATGAGGGAGAACACCGTGTTGGTTGCAACATCAACCGACAGCA